CCTCACCCCACCCCCCGCCGTCATGGGCATCATGGCATCACGAGGGGATGGAGCAGGGTTTTCCCCTGGGAAACCCATCACCCCCGTGGGATTCGGCTGCTCTTACCAAGTGCGCGGGTGAGGGTGAGCGGCTGTCCTTCAGGGTGGCGCCGGCGGGGACGGCCAGCAGCGGCCACTTCATCTGCAGGTACTGCAGGAGAGCCGGGCTGATGCCCTCCGCCAGCCCTGAAACACCCCCCGGCCCCAAAACACCCCCTGACCCCAAAACATGCCCCCCAGCCCCGGCTGCACGCTTGGCTGGGGACACCCCAACCCATGGAGGACACCATGGGCTGGTGGCAAAGGGGTTTTGGGGGCACGCAGGGCTGTTTTCAGCCCTATAAGCCCCTACGGACCCCGTAAATGGTGCAAAGCCCCAAATGATGCAAAGCCCCAAATCCAAAATCCCAAATCTCCACCCCAAATGGTGCAAAACCCCCAACCTCCGCCCCAAATGATGCAAATCCCCAAATCCCAAACCCCAAATCCCTGCCCCAAATGGTGCAAATCCCAACCCCTGCTCGGCGCTGTCTTGCCAGGGAGCCACGAGCCCCCACCTGCCCCCCCCACAATTCCCCACCCGCCTGCACCGATGCCACATTTCCCTACCCCAAAAACAGACTTTTTGGGACACGGCGATGCCCGGCGCAGCACAGCACAAGGCACAATCGCCCGCGGGGCTCAGCCCCGGGGTGGTCCCTGTGCTGGGGGGTGCCTTCCCTGTCCCCGGGGGCACCGGCACCAACCCTGAATTGCCGGAGTGCGAGAAACCAACCCCATATTGTAACGAGGGCTGGGGGGAGGCAAATACGGAGCTTTTTTTGGGGGGGGGTTCCCCCTCCCTGGGTTAAACCTTGCTGCGACACAGGGGTTTGTCTCCCCTGTCCCATCCGTTTACGGCACTGGATGTAAGCGGCCCCCGAAAGAAAGGTGCTTTGTGTTGTGTTTTTCGGCAGAGGGGGGCCGGAGGCATTTCCCGGCAGACGGCGGGAGGGAGGCGCGTCCCGCGAGATGCGGGCGGGGGATTGTGGCCTGGACAGGCCGCAGCTGCGCGCAGGAATTTCCCCGCCGTACAAACCTTCCTGATCCGAAGCAGCTGGAAGGAAAACCCAGCAAGGAACTGTGGGGAGCGTTAACTCTTCCACGGCTGGACAGATGCATCCCTGCCTGCATTGCCTCCTGCAGCCCCCCAAAGTGTCCTGTATCCCCCCCTGCATCGCACTTTCCTCCCCTCCAGTCTCCCCTATCCCCCCTGCATCCCC